ACGGTGGTACACTGACCGCTCCAAAACACCAGAAGGCATTGGGACAGCTACTTATGGTATGGTCGCAGAATGAGGACATCCGTGCCCATGGGCACAACCAGAGCATCTACCAAGCGGAAGTATACGCCATAAACCGGTATACAGAGATTAACTTACGTAGATACCACCGTAGTGAGATAATCATGATCCTTAGCGACAGCCAGGCGGCACTTAAGGCACCTTGAATGTATTTACACAAGAGAATAAAGGGGTATGAGATAGCGGATGGTTTAGTCTAGAGGCTGTAGTAACTGGATAACAAAAAAAATGTCTATAAGAGCTTTATAGTGGTTTACTTGCGCAAAACTGAAGTGAAAATATTCCACCATTTTGCTCTATAAAATAGTTTTAAAATCTCTTATTAGACCAAAAGAGTCCAGAAGGCGAGGCTTCGTATCGCAAAATGTTGCTTTGTTATTAGTTTCCAAATGGTAATGCAATTTTATTAGGATATTAGGTGGTCTACAACATGAGTTTATAAAACATTTGAAAGTCTTTTCATCCACTTTGTGTAGAGCCTTTGATCTAAAAGTGATCACTGTGTTACGCTCTTTTTGTTCGTACGTTAAAGATATTAAAGAAAAATGTATATTGGGTTCTTTATTAGAGCAACAGAAGCCAGAATTTTTAGATTTTTTTCTGTCTGTCTCAGAATAATAATTATTTCATGGTGGAGTTTTAAAAAAGTTTTCCAAAGAAGAATAATAAAATTATTTTCAAAATAATTATCAGCGAGATAAATATTTTTAAGTTTTCGAAGACTTTTATATTAATTTATTTAATTGTGTGAAGGAACGAATACTTCCTTGCGTAACTTAAGCTACTCTGGCTATAACAAGCACTTTTCTACATAGTTAACCATTTGAAGCCAATATCTAAATTTGTTTCCAAAATGTAGATATGCTTCTTTATTCTCATCGCCTCTGACATTTTTATCTCTATTTCTATTTTGATTCCATTAGTTGATACATATTTAGCACCGGTTATTGAAAAAATATACTAACAAATTTCTTTCCGCCTCTAAAAAATTGCCTCTCATGCTCCAAGCTGATTTTTGTAGCCACCCCAAATATGCCACTATATAAATCAAGTTGTCTGCTAAGTAACAACAGGCCGGCGACTTTTGGCATGGTAACTGGAAAAAATAAAAGGAAATGCGAAACTTGTATCGCAAAAAAAGAAGAATTTAAGTACAAAACGTCAAAAACAGGAGCTAAAAGAAAAAGACGAAGGTAAAAAGGGCAAGCCACCAGGAAACACTACCCGGCCGGACAGTTAAACATACCGGCTCTGTGATTACGACAAATTTATCAACGTACCGGAGTTGGGCGCTTTATAAGCGGCACCACAATACGGTTTGCGAACAAAATATTTACTTTCGCCTTTATTTATTTTTATTTTGCAGTCATCGTTTTGCTAGACACTATTTTTTTTTGCTTTAAAATACACGCTCTTATTCAACTGTATGTATTCCTACTTATTTTTCCTTTTTTCGTTGGCTGACCAAAGCAAAAAGGGAAATCAATTCAATTTGCATGAGCGTCAACGTACGCAACGCTGAATGTTTGTACTTTGTTATTGATTTGTTGTAATTTCGTTTCGTTTACCACCGAAGGGTTGGCTTTTTTTCTCCTTTTTGGTTGTTAACACCGAAAAGGATATGTATATTCAAAGCCCGATTTTTTTAATTTTGCTATCAGTTTTTTTGCAAACTCTTTTTGGCAAATGGTAGATTATTCAGCGCGATTTATCGGCATTCAGGCTTCATAAGCGCCAATTAAAGGCAGTATGGTGCAAATTTTTAGATAAAAACTGAATTTTGTTTAGTTTGTAGACTTTGTAATTTGCTAACAAATGTTAATAAAGTATTTAAGTTAAATAAAACTCCAAATAACTTTACAAAGTTATCCGCATTGCACTTGAAGTGAATTCAGCTAGTTTTAAACTTATACAGCAGACTTTCGAAGAGTAGCACTAAACGTAACAGAAGGCGGGCCGCGATGCTGGTAACAGAAGAAGTGTAAGGTCTCCTCTGCGTTGGAAAGATTAGGGGGATAAGGACTTGGCTTCATATCGCATTTCCAATTGGCGCAAGAAATGACTGACGTGCATTGGCGGACACGGCCAGAAGCGCTTAGACGGGTACAGCGTCAATCAAGAAGAAGAAGAAGTACTAAAAGCTACTTATGAATAGTTAAAAGCGAATATTGGTAAGACTAAGGTAAACAAAAAAAAATATAGATTTCCAAGTAACTCAGGCTACTGCAGTGATTTTTAGCACGTAAATATTTCGGCGTTTTATTCTGTTTCACAAAAGATCTAAAAGATTTTAGTTATCTCCTTCCTCTGGAGTTTAGTATTAGACGAAGTCCTGCAAATGCTATTGGAGAATGGAATCTAATTCCGGAGCTATGCGAATTATATAGTCATACTAGCAAGGAGCAGCAAGTTTGACAACACTCTATGTAACTTAATCCAAAGGAGATTAAAGATAAGAAAAGAGTAGTGTGTAAATGTGTGTATCAACATAAACCCAACGAAAGCAGCCATCATCCCGTTCACTAGAAGAAGAATCCTAACGGGAATGAGGACCATGACTCTGAATGGCATAGACGTCAGCACTGTTTTGGATATTTGGACATCACGCTCGACAAAAACTGTAGTGGAAGAAACACGTTGATATGGCGACATCCAAATCCACAAGAGCACTAATGGTATGAAAACATCTTGCAGGAAAATCTTGGGAAATCAGGTACTCAGATGGGTGTATGCCACGATTGTCAAACCAATGATAACCTGACGAGCGGTGGTATCGGGCTCGATAGTCAACCGAGTGACTTTGAGGCGCTTACTCACGAAATTACAACGTCTCGCATGTGTGTTTATCACATGCGTAATGTGCACCTGACCTATGGCAGAAATGGAAGCTATTCTTGATTTTACGCTGCTGCATATTGGTATAGAGCTGGCATTCAAACGATTCCTAATAAACTTCACTAGAGAAACATGGGGTAGAGAGAGAGGATAGTAACATCTCCTAAAATGGTATCTCTCGGGGAATAGATACCCATAACTCAATTCCCGCGAGGGGATATCAGCAGCATTATTAGCTTCTAAAGGCACTTCAAAACAGCAAGCTGAGCCGATACTAACATCCTTAAATATTTCTAGCTGCACTCTCTTATTTGGAACACAGATGGCTCAAAAACACATGTGGGCATTAGAGCCGGCATCTTTGGTTCCCATGGTCAAACTGCCTAGAATATTTTAATCGGTGGTTCACGCCATAATCCTGTGAGCAGGGATTAATTTTCAGTGAAAATATTGCAGCGAAAACGTCCAAATACTAAGCGATAGTCGGGATGCACTCATTACTCTTCATTCTTATGAAATCAAGTCTGCACGGGTTCTGAAGTACGTAGGGAGAAAAAATGTCTTCCTTTCCTGGGTGTCGGGCCACAAAAGCACATAGGGAAATGAAGAGGCAGACAAGCTTGCTAGGGAAGCCGCAGTAACAACACCAATAGGCTCGATTGCTTCTTTGCAATAGAATCACACACTATCAAAAAGAACTGCAGTGGAACTAAGTCTCTGGGCAGCGTGAAACCAACAAGCTATTGGGGGTATACAATAGGAAAAGACATGATAAGCTCATTAACCTACCAAAAGCTAAGAATTTTAAAAATTGCTGATTAAGGAGTCACCTATAAAAACTTGGGATTCGGTCCACCGATTCATGCCGTTTTTGTGATAGAGAAGCTGAATTTTCTGGGCACATACCCCAGAAATGCGATTCAGTTGCAAGGAGACGAGAGAAATATCTCGAGGCACTAAATCGACAGCCGAAACACATGCACTCGATGTTGCCAAACAATCTACTTGATTTCCTAAGGGAGCTGGGATTGACAGAGGTGCTGTAAGGGGCAAGAGGGCACGAAATATCTCCTGGTGGCAGGCAATTTCTCAAGTAAACATCTAAAATAATTTGTTGGATTTGCTTAGAATTTTGATATATGGTCGGATTTATTATTTAACGTAAGAAGCTATTGGCGATCTAATGTGAAAACTGCCTTTACATATATGTGGGATCTGATTCAGAATGATGCGCTTAAAAGCTGACGAAGTGAACGAACTGCCGGAGAGGACGATGGATATTGTAAGCACCTAAGGGCGTTTTCCCTTTTTTGAGGCGAAAGCGACTAACTTAAAAGAGTTCGATACTCAGCATTAATTTCAAGAGAGGCCAAGAGTTCAGTTAAAATATCAAATAAGATACGTAATTTTAGTTTCGTGAAATAGCACAATCTGACTATACACACTGTGATGTTATTCAGCTCACTACAGTGCAATTCAGCAGCAGTTTTTCCCTTTAACTTCATAAAATGCATTTGTTTGAAGTCGAAATCTATTGGCGCAATTCAGCAGCGGATCCATTCCTGCCTTTTCATAAAATGCAAAAAAATATGTTTTCTCTAAGTTCAAACCTACAAAAGGCAGCCTATTAAAATAAAAAGCTAGATTTAAATACGCGCAAACGTTTTTGTTATAAAACCAAAATGTTAACAAATTTGCTGGACGTACTTTTACATGATTCCGCAGGTGAGTTGTGTAAATTTCTCATGCGTTAAGGTACCACCAAAACCCACCTAAAATCAAACCAACTATATTCAGCGCAATTCAGAATAATTCAGCAACTTTTAATTAATTTCTTAAGCAGTGAAGAGTATAAAATGCTTTCATATCTTGCAATTCAATCACTTGTTATCCTCAACAAAAACTTTCCACCACTATTCAGCCCTTTCTGCCGCCATTCAGCAATATTCAGCAAAAACCATTTGCCAACTAACAGCCTTGCTGCCAAAAATACGCAATCAGACATACAAATAAACCATTTAAAATGCATAACATTCCCCACAAAAAAAAAGTACCAACACCAATAAACAATCAGATTTATAGCTTACCCCAAACGCTGCTGTTCATGCTCTTCCTCATCCTCCATTATGTCGACAGTTGCATTCGAACCAACCATAGACGCTGGGCCCGACATCAAAGCACCCAATTGTGTGGTAACTGCTGTTGTTGTTGGCGGATTACCGCTACACGTCGCCGCCGCTATTGATGTTGTTGCTGTTGCTGTTGCTGTCAATCCAGCTGTCAACATCGCAATGGAAGTTGCATTTGTTGCATTCAATGTTGAAGTGGTTGGTGTTGTTGTAGCCGATTGTGTTGCTGTTGTGGTAGTATTTGTTGAATTATTTCCACCATTTATGCCACAACTAACGCCACCACTGCCATCGTTTTGTTGTAATAATAAATCATGTCTACAGGTTATATCTCGTTCGCCGGCTACTAATGTGCTGATCTCCGGTGGCAGAGGTTTTGTGAGGAATTTCGCTCGACGAATACCTAGAAATTAAATTGAAATGGAGAATTAAAATGTTAAGCGAGGATGTAGTGTTTGGAAGTGATGTGTAATATACGAATTGTTTTTGGGTCAAAATTTAGCAGGTAGATCGTTTAATAAATTATTTTTTACACGTGACCAAAATGCATTTGTTGAATATTTAGTGTTTATTATATTCAGCACTCTCAGTTCAGCAGCTGAAATTTTGTGTAAACTCCGCCATTTTGGTGATAAGACTTTTAAAAATATTCTTTGATTGTTATAAAGTATTAGTTTTGTATCTATTGTCAAAACATATCACACTAAAATTAAATTCAGCACAATTTTTGCGCCATCCATGAATTTATTTGTATATATTTTAGCTGGAAAATTACACTGCTATACATGCAGCACAACAACATTTAAAGATTTTTGACTCAGCAAACTGTTTTTTTCAATTCAGTACCTCTCTGGCGCTGAAACTAAAAACACTTTGTTTTATTAAGCAAGTAATTAGTATGGCTATTCTATTGCATTGTATTTGTCGCAGTAAAAGATGATTTCAATTCAGCATATCTTAACTAAATTCAGCACAAAATATTGTTTTGGCTGAAAACATTTTTGATAAAAAATATTAAAAAACACTGCCTTTCAGATTTCGTTTATATTCAGCGCCATCTGATCATATTCAGCAAAGCAATGTATTTCGCAATTGGAAAAATAAATTTCCCAGCCTTCCTCTTTTTAATCAATGCGAATTTGATCTTTATAAGCTAATATAAACGAAACCTAATTAAATTCGGCAATTGGTATTGCTTAGTTATTAGACAACAACTTTCTTGTCTTATGCTCGCATTTGTCATAGTTAAAAACTGATTTATTTCATATTCAGCACGACTTAATGAATTCAGCAGAGCATTCATTTGAGCTTAGAAATCTTTTATAAAGCAAAAATTAAAAGTACTGTGCATTTAATTTCTCATGCGTATTCAGCATATTTTTAACTTACTTAGCACTTATATTTTATAATAAGTCCAAGTAGTATGGCTAATCCATTGCCGTGTATTTATGGCAGTAAGAGCCGATTGAAATTCAGCATAGCTTAACTGAATTCAGCACCGCATATCTCTTTGGCTAAAAATATTTATAATAACATATATTAAAAATACTTTGCTTTTAACATTTCGTGCCTATTCAGCGCCATTTAATCATATTCAGCACATATTTTACTATAAAAATGAGAATAAATATTTTTCTCAGCTCATATAAAAGACACCCAATTCAATTCAACAATTCTCGAAACTTGTATTTTCACCTTTGGAAATCTTTGTTTAAAGGTAGAATGAGAAGGAATGATTTAGGAATACAAAAATAATTTATATCTATTAAACCTAATTTTTTTTGCCAAGCACGACTTCAAGTGAAAATTAAATTTAATACTCGAGTGCCTAATTTGCATTTGTGTATTTACACATAAGATCGACAACAACGCACACATTCAGGTGACCTTTGCACTTTTCCATTCAGCCGTTGACATCTTGGCGTCAAGTTACACACAAAACAAATTAGGAAGAAAAACAATAAAGCATTCTACTTCGTGGCACATTCATCGCCCGCCACGTACGTGTCACAAGGCATCATTGTCATCATCAATAAAAAAAAGTGTGTCATGCATGACACAAGGCTGTGCGTGTGTGTATTTACTGTCAGCATTTTTCTATTGCTCCTCCGTTCTGTTGGCCATAGTCAAAGTGCCCTACTCGTCATCGTTCTGACTTTTCACTTTTCTCGACTCATTTAAAATATTTTGTAAGTACTTAATGCCTCATGTGAGAGCTTAAGTTGAACCCTTGTTTAGTATCTGCCTTCATGGCAAGCTAGTCATGGACTAAATCGCACCTATTTACTTTTAAACTTTACAAATATTTTGTGTTCCTCTTTTTCTGCACCCCTATTCCACAACCAACCACTTGTCACAGCTGCCACAACTTAAGACCTAAATTAAATGAAGTGATTGATTACCGTATTTTAACAGTAATGCTTGTTGTGCAGCGCTTTACAACGAGTTAAGGGCTCCATGTTTATGTATGCTCGACTATCAAGCCGTCTCGTATTTCACCTGGCTGCGTCTGTTGACGTTGCTGCGTTTGTGTTGGTTAAGTTGTATTTGAGTTTAGCAAATTGCTCAAGTTGTGTGTTAAAGGGCGCCAATTTACGCTGTCACAATGACGAAGATTGTTAATTAAATCGATGTGGATGGTGCGTTTGAGGTAAACGTACGTTAAAGGTTTTTAAAAGAATTTACGCAGCTGAATTTGGCTATACATTGCGGTGATGGGCATTGTTTGAACTCAATATATTGATTCAATTCAGCGCACTTTTAAGCAATTCAGCTGATTCAATAAGGAGCGCTTTAAATGACAAGCACTTTTTTTGTAAAATTACTGCCGTTGGAATTTGTATTTCTCGCAAGCTTATTTCAGCACATTTTAAGGTAATTAAGCTGACATTCATTATTGCTCAGCAGTACTTAAAATTGTAGGTGTAGAGTAAGACGCATTTCATATCCCAAAGTTCTGGCTTATTCAGCGTATTTTATAAAAACTTACTTGGCGAATACTACAAGTATTTAGATTAAAAGTGCGCACTCTGTTTTAAAACGGTTCAGCTTTTTAAAAATTTCAGCTATTGTCTTTATTAAATAAGCTGAATTGAGTGCTGAAAATCTGAATAACTTATTTTGAAAAAAAAATTTTATAAAACTAATTAGATTTTTATTAATGTTATTTTATGTATATTTAAAGCTATTTTTTAGCTGAATTTGAATTAACTTGCTATTGGTCAGCGTAATTCAGCTGCATAATATGAACTTTAGTTAGTAGTCAAATGCCACTTATTCCAATATCTGAAAATGCAATATTAAACATCGATTCAGCTCTTCTAAGCCTCATTCAGCGCATACGAGCTTCACATTTTGAACGGTAAAAACCAGCTTGATGCTGATTCTAAAACCAAAAATACTGCATTAGCTCAATTCAGCTACATTTGGCACAAATTAAAGTACATAATATTTTTTTAAATATTATGTCGGATTTATATTAGCTATAGCACTCCGCCATCCCTAAGCAACCTGATTAGGATCTCTTGGTAAATTTAGCTTTATTCAGCATAGTTAATCTTCACTGTGAACAGTTGTATATCTCCATTAAAACTTAATTGCATGCTTTTAATGCAATTCAGCTGTACTTATGTTCTGAAGTATAGTTCTAAATTGAATGTTGCTTATACCGATACTTGCTAATATAACATCTCAGCTGTTCGCAGTCTCATTCAGCGCGAATCCGCTGCACGAAAGAAAACAACTTGGTGATTATTATATTACCAAACATACTGCATTAGCTCATTTGGTTCAATTCAGCTACATTAAGCACAAATTTAAGTACATATTTTTTAATATTATCTCGAGCCTTTTATGATTTATAGCACTGCGTCATTCAGCTTAATTCAGCACAGTTCAGTTTTATTCTGAACAGTTCTAGGTAGGTAGGTTGTCGCGGTCGTCTATAAGACACACTTAGGCTCAGGGCCCATTGTGATGCCGCATGTTGGGTCAGCAACTCCCAATCCCTCCTAAAACCACACACAGTTCTACGTCTGCATTAAACTTAACTTTCTTTATTTCAAAGCAATTCAGCTGCCTATTGTGAAGCATAAATCAAAATTATATTATAATATTTCCTAATGTAACATGTAAGCTCAATTCAGCTCTCCTCAGCAGAATTCAGCTGCATGTTATGAATTAGGAAAAGAAATTTCAAGTTGATTCTTTTACCAAAATTATAGTATTAGCTCAGTGAGCTCCATTCAGCAATATTTAGGGAAATTTTAACTATATAATATGCTGTGTGCACATATTATCTCTAGGCTTATAGAGTTCTACCAGGTTGTCCGCAAAACATAAAACTGGTACTGTTTTTTCAGCTCGTTTCAGCTATTTAGCTTCAGTTCAGCGCTTTCCTGCTGTGTAAGTTTTTGTCGAAAGCATTTCCCTCCAAACACTCAGCAAATTTTCAACACTAGTTTCCTAGAAAACTCCGCTGACACAATATTCGCTTCGTACGATGCGGTTGCAATCATTTATCTTTGAAGCTTTCCACACTGCACATGCCAAAATATCCAACAAATCAATTTCTCTACATTGCAACATCGCATGCCATGCAAGCCATTTGCAGTCTAAAGCGACAAGCAAACGACTCACAGTGTTTCGACTATATGGAGGCAGGTAGAAAAAAGTCATGGTGACAGTTGATAAAAAAAATCGGTTTGACTTCGAGAGGGAATAGTAAAAGTCATAAGTACCAAATTTTACATTATTTACTCACCCCCCTTCTTCACGAACGATACATTTCCAAACAAGTAAGAAAGTTTAAGTTCGGGCGGAGCCGAACATTAAATACCCGGCGCAAGCATTAAATATATGTTTTTTCACCTTTCCGAAACCTACCGCTAGATGGTAAGCCGGGGTGTATCAATTTTGAGTAAATTGGCGTCCTTCAATTTCGAAATATTGAAGTTTCAAGCATTTCTGAAATTTACCGTTATATGAGAAGCGGCCGTTATATTAGTCTGATTTCAATAATCTTCAACGTTTTGCTTATATGTGGCAAGCACAATAACCACACCGAGTTTGGTACAAATTGGTAGAACGGTTACCGATATACTTATATGTGATCATAAGTGGGCGGTGCCACGCCCATTTTCCAAAATTTTACCATAAACGTATTTCTTGGTAAAGAATTGTTGCAAGCATCAATTTTGAATAAATAGCTTCAATATTTACTGATTATCGAAGATTTTGTATTTCTCTAAATTACCGTTATATGGGATGTGGGCGTGGTTATTGTCCGGTTTTAAAAAGTTTCGGCGATTTTTTATGCTGTACCCAGGCCAACAACTGTACCAAGTTTGGAAGAAATTAGCGGTTACCAAGATATACACATGTAACCATAAGTGGGCGTGGCTA